TGTTTGTTGTTTGTTGTTTGTTGTAGTAGTGTAGAGATGTTTGTTGTACTAGAGATCTTCTTGTTGTTGTTCTTGTTTGATTTTCTGGTGACAATTCTACTAATACTAATAATAGTAATGATACCACTAGTAGAACTAGTACTAGTAGTATAAGAAGAACTTGCCTTTTTCAAACTTTTAGTAATAGTACTAGCCATTGCTCTTCCTGCTTCCTCCACAGCAGTTAGTAGCTAGTAATATGGGGTGCTACTACTATGATGGTCTTCTTTCTTGAGAGTTGACTTGTTGTCAACAGTGCCATAGCGATGAGTATCTTTTGTTGTTGTTAGTAGCACCATTAAGACTATATGTTATTTCCTGGTGTGTAATGCCTCAATAATGTAATTCCACTAGTAAGTGGTCACAATAGCAAGTGGTTACTACTAACCATGTGTTGCTTAAAGGCACCAGCATTGCATCACATCACATCACATCACATCACATCACATCACATCACATCACATCACATCACATCACATCACATCACATCACATCACATCACATCACATCACATCATGCTGAACCTTGCTGGAACTGATTGTTTTTCAACTGTTAGTGAAATTCTCAACTATTTTGTGACATTAATGAAGACTGCTACCTAAACCACTTCTTAGCTCTAGTACTAATCATCAAGCTCTGATCGTGCCTCCATAAAACCTCCTCGGAGGGAGGGGCCGCCCCTCGGACGAGCAGCTACGTCACAAAAAGTGTTCCCGACCCCTCACATCCNATAAGAGCATCGACTCACTTTTCTACTAGCACACACTTTACATCTCTTTTAGGACAGTCACTCCCACAGTACTAGACAGCAGTAGTACAGAGGTGTAGCTAGTAGATCTGGAACCTTACTAGTACTAGTAGAGACGTACATGGATTCAAGTGACAACCACTGGTAGTATTCTTTTTGAAAATTAAATAAAGAGTAGTGTATAAGGTATTCAATTTTAGGAAGCAAGGAAAGCATGCTATTGTACGAATAAGGTTTTGTGGACCTGTTTCAAGTCACAACTCTTGCAATCTATTCCTCCCACCAGCATGACACCAACAGAACCTATCTTGGCAGTAGTAGTACTAGTAGTAGTAGTACTAGTAGTAGTACCAGTAGTATTAGTAGATTGTTACTTGAGAACTTCCTTCACTCATATGGGACACAAGTTTACTAAAGCATTTTTAATACTTACTCCCATGATCATAGTGGTAGGAGATAGTAATACCATGCTATTCAAATACATAAGTGAGAAATACTGCTCTTGGTGCCGGTGGCTTGCAATATGAACCAAAACATCCCAGCTCATTGTGGTTGCCATCATTAAAAAGAACTGCAGACAACTAAGTGATCCCACACTTCAGACTACTAGTAGCAGTCTTGATGTCCTCAAAGGAAACCCAAATGTCTTTCTTTTTGTTGAAGATAATAATGGATGATACTTCCAGCATGTTGGGTGGACTTGTACCAGTGATGTTATCTTGTATTTGGTGGTCAAAGAATTGTATACTTTGGGATTGACAAGTGACATTGCCATGTTCTTCTCTATTATTATTTTTGTTTGTGTTCTTCTTCATCACAATCTAAAAACATAAATGCACCTTTTTGGTGAAAATCACAAGGATTGAGTCATACAAAGATAACCCAATTTGTAGTGCCCCAGATAAGATGTCTGATAGACGTCATGGGTCTGGTCAAGGAGTTCCAGAATGGCATCAAATGAAACCTCAGAGTCAGTTGTGACATTAGAAAATATTCTAAGATAACCATCAGTATCACCACCACTGGAACACTTCCTCTATCATCTTTGTAGAACTCCTGCAATCAACAGGAGTCAGGTCTGGGACACTATCACCAGATAGATATCATCAGATAGTAGTATTGTGGCACTACCATTGTAGTAGTCACAGTACTAGGAACATGTGTCATCATTCATCATGGATTTGATTTTGTGAAATATGATATTTTGTGATGTTTTTATTTTTGGTTTGGATGGTTGGATTTTAAAGGAGTCCCATCTTCCCCACTGAATTCCTTCAATCTAGTGCTAGTATTGGCAGCCAGCTGGATATACTTTAGCCTGGTGGTGATAAATGATTGTTGCTCCATCTTGTCAAGAAAGAATTTGATTTAGTATGGAGAGTAATTCCATCACCCCAGGTCAAGCCTTGCTTCCATCCTGTATGATCACACTACTACTAAATAGCCCACCAGCATGTTATTTTGCCTTATCATTACTACCTTCAGAATTGTCTGAGTCAAGATCAAGCTGACTGTTATCTCCTCCTTGCTGACATGTTGACCTTTTTCTTCTAGTAGTAGTCAGACAAGCTTTTCCCATCCAGACAAGGTTGCAACTCTGGTGATTCCAAGGCCAAATCTGATTTTTGTGCTGCTGTTGATTATTCCACATTCATCACCTCACACCTACTGCTGGTACCACTATCCTGGGTCACTGGCTTTTGAAGATGATCATGTTGCAAAGCTTTGATCATGGCATGATAGGAGTGGTATTGTTGTTCTTGTTGGTATTCTTGTCTCCTGTTGTTACTTGCTTGCTTGTGAATTGTGATGAGTAAACTTCATACTTTTCTACGTCACAAAAAGTGTTCCCGACCCCTCACATCCCATAGC